TCTGGCAAAAGATGAATATATTTTCTTTTGAATATTCAAGTATTTCATGCATTTGGGTAAATTAAAATGTTTCACAAGCTGGGGTTTCGTATTTTGCTGGGGTTTTACATATATGTGCTTTTTTTTTTTCTTTAAAAAAAAAAAATTAAGAATTCATAGAAGGATTTCTTTGCCGAGTTTAGGGAGACGATTTTTTTTTTTGATAGACAAATGAAGTTCAGAGGCATTACAGTTTCCATTTCCAGATATATATAACTGTGCTTCATTATGCAGCCAAAATCTTTAATACATTTTTCGTGTAGAAGTGTTATTGTAAAAATGAATTTCTTTTTCTGGCAAGAAGACATGGATTTCTTTGAGTATATCCAAAAATTTACTTTTCCTTTCAATTGGCATGAATAAGTGTTTATATAAATATGTATGTACAACACATATTAGATAAACTAAAAAAAATCGAATGCGTTATTAGGAAATTTTAAAGAAAAAATGTTGAAAAAAGGATTTGATGTATTCAAATTTTTCTAAACTATTCCTCAAAAAATGTTAAAAGTGATATCAGAAATTTAATTGAAAACATATAAAAGAGTAGTGAAAAACTGACTAACTGAGAATCAACGACCAGACAAAACGGCAAAAGCACGAATCTTAAAATTTTAGACTAGGGTCAGTCTTGACGTGTGGGTTTTTGGAATTCCTACTAAAACGGATATGAACAATATTAAATGTCCTAAAATTTGAATACCTTGTATTGGACTAACGAAATGAGATAGAATTCTGAAATACCAAAAATGATACGAAAAGTAGTAAAATGTACTAAAAATTTAATGCTTTTTATTAGACATACCGAATGAACTAGAATTCAGAAATTTGGAATAGGACTCACTGATAGAGTGCAGATTAGATATATCAAGGGGTTTTTGGAAATTCGAACTTTAAGGTTATGAAAAGTTGTAAAATGGTACCATTTGGTATTATGTAAATGGATAGAGCTGAAAAGGATGGAAAGTAAGTTTAATATTTGAAGGTGTTTTTTGGAAATGTGTACTAAGTGTGCGAACTCTATTAAATGGTAATAAATTGGAAACAGTTTGGTTTAGGGTGAACAGATTAAGATAAAATTTGAAAATTTTGTATTGGGGTCCCTGTTGGTAGTAGGTTTGTGATTAGAGATGGCCTTGGAAATTGTACTAAATAGTACTGTATTTGGTACAACTTGTTATTGGGTGAACAGAATCTGAAGTTTGGTATTAGTATCACGGTTCATGTGTACCCTGGACATATGGAGGTGGTTTCGGAAAAGTGTACTATAATTACTCGGAAAGTACTGAATGGTACTATATTTGATATTCGCTAAAGGATAGAGATAAAATTCTGAAATTGTTATTTAGATTTCTGACGGTATCTGTATTTGAGATTTGGCGGTGGTTTGAAATGTGTCCTATATTTGTAGAAAAAGTAGGAAATGGTACTAAATTTGGTATTGGGTAAAGGGATAGGGCTGGAACCCTCGAATTTGATATTGAGATTCCTGATGGTATCTGGAATTGAGATATGAAAGTAGATATGAAAATGTTGTAATATACGAAAAGAACTAAATTTGGTATAGGGTGAAGGAATAGAGGTGAATACCAACAATTTGATATAGATGTCGCAGTGATATGGGAAATGTTCGAAAAGTACTAAATACTATTAAATTTTGTATTGGATGAAGGGATGGGGCTGGAATCCTCAAATTTGATACAATTATCACCCTTGGTGGCTGCGGTTGCGAAAAGGAGCTGGTTTTGAATATGCGTACTAATTTTGTACTGAATTATACTAAGTTTGGTGTTGGGTGGCATTAAATTGGATTGGGGGTGAAGGGATAAAGCTGGAATCCCGAAATTTGGTATTGAGATCTCTGTTAGTATCTGGAATTGAGATATGGAAGTGGTTTTGGAAATGTGTACTATAATTGTACGAAAAGTACTAAATTCCGTATTGGGTGAAGGGGTAGGGCAGATATCCTCAAATTTGATAGAAATATCACTCTTGGTGGCTGTAGTTCAAAGAAGAAGCTGGTTTTGAATATGCGTACTAACTTTGTACTAAATATTACCAAATTTGGTGTTGGGTGAAGGAATATACATTGAATCCCGAAATTTTTATATTGAGTTCACTGTTGGTTTCTAGACATATGGAGACGTTGAAATAGTTTTGGACAGAAAAATTGTATGTGGGCCCATTGTGAAATGGTCTTGCTAATGAAGGCTTTTGCAGATTTTTTTGTGTAAAAGGTGAACATTTTCCCATTATTAATTTTTCCAAAACAGGAAAAACTTGAAAAATAAAAAAAATAATAAAAATTTGAAATTGTCAATTTTCAGTACTAAAAAGGCATAACACGAACTTTTGGAAGAAAGCTAAAATTTTCAAATGGAATTTTCGTGTATGATGCCACTTGCCACTTGCTGCTTGGAAATTGAAATTTATTTTTATACCCTACACCACAAGGTGGTCAGGGTATTATGTCTTTGTGCATTTGTTTGTAACAGGCAGAAGGAAACGAGATAGACCCATAGTTCCTTTTGATGATCTGCATAGAATCACATTCTGAGTCGATTTATGCATGTCCGTCCGTCCGTCCGTCCGTCTGTCCATGTATTTTTGTAAACAAAGTACAGGTCGCATTTATTGCCCGATCCAGATGAAATTTTGCAAAGATCTTTTGTTTGGCCCAAGGACGAACCCTATTGAAATTGGAGATAATCGGTCAAAATTTAGATATAGCTCCCATATATATCTTCGTCCGATTTGCTTTTTATTGTGCACCAAACGTGTAATATCAGCCCGAATTGTATGGAATTTTGCATATTCACCCAAATTAGGTCTAAAAATATGTATGCCAAATTTGATCGAAATCGGTTCAGATATAGCTATAGCTCCCATATATATTGTCCATCCGATTTGTTACTTTTGTCCACCGCCGCCGTAATATGCACTCTGCAACAACAATATTTGGGGAAATATATCAAATACAGCTCAGAAATACCGTTGCTAAATTTTATCGAGATCGGTTCAGATTTGGATATAGCTCCCATATATAACTTCGTCCGATTTACCTTTTATTGTGCACCAAACGTCTAATATTTGTCCAAATGGGATGGAATTTGGCACTTATGACCGAATTGAGTCTAGAAGCTAGAATGTCAAATTTGGTGAAGATCGGTTCAGATATAGCTATAGCTTCCATATATATTATTCATCCGATTTGTTATTTTTGTTACCCACAACCGTAATATGCACTCCGTAACAACGATATTCAGGGAAATATATCAAATACAGCTCAGAAATATCTTTGCCAAATTTTATCGAGATCGGTTCAGATTTGGATATAGCTCCCATATATATCTTTATCCGATTTCAAATTAATTGTGCACCAAATGGGCAATACAATTCCGAATTTAAAAGATACAAATGCTTCGGCATATTTAGTCCTTTGAACTTTAAATTATGATTATAATCATAGCGTGTATGATTGAATTCTCCCATAAAAAATTTTTAATTGTTATGTGGAGCTCTACTTAATTAGCTAAGTGGTGTAGGGTATCATAAAGTCGGCCCCGCTCGACTTGAAGACTTTCTTTACTGGTTTCAAATAAAGCAGAGCAACAAATTCAGGCTTAGCAGACTTTATTATCCCCTTCACCGCTGTTTTGGTGAAACTAAGATGTATAGACATTTCGAGTTTTCAATAGGTACTTTTTCAACTTACCAAATTAATCAAAAATGACTCGACTACGCAGCCCCACGTTTCGACCACTTTGTAAAAAATACAAATTTATTGAAGTACGAAGAACGTCAATATAGTTCATATTAGCACCAAATCTAAATTTAATGGAAATTTGGAAGGTGCAAAATCCAAACGATTCACATGGATCATTTTCGATCCCTGATATTAGTTTATGATTTTTGACAGTTTGTGTTGAAGGCGTATTCGGATGTTATCTTGTGCACCATGCTGAAAGTCGGACAAAGGATGCTAGCTAGATAGGATTCGAATATCCTGAAAAATTGAACATTTTAAAATGCTATATAATTTTTTTTCCATAATAGTATTTCTTTCGAATGCCTTTAAAAATTTTGCAATATCAAAAGACTGGATCTTTTTCTTAATGTATGTAAAAAACTAAATCTCTCATATAAATTTGTTTAATATTTGATTTGGACTGAGGTATGAAAAAACAGACCTTCTTCATAAATATTTTAGTGTTTTGCATAGAGCAAATGCTGAACTTTCTCTAAGGTATATGGAAGTCAACATGACTTAAATCTCTGAAGAAATTGATGTCACCCTAGCTACCAAATTTAAGGAAAAAATATCTTTTATGAGTTCTACTGTTCTTCCTGTTGTGAGTCTTCTTTTTTATACCAAATCTTTATGAAAAATCAAAAACATACATATTTTATCAAATGAAAATCAGTATTGATCATATGTATGTATTTCAAATAAATAAAAAATATATGTTTTTTTTCAATAATTTTTATGGAATCATAAATACCCATTTGTTTGCGATTTGAATAGAAAACAATTTCATTAAATTATTAAGGAAAAATTCCAATTTATTTTCATTTTAATTGGAATACTCAGAAAAAGCCAAAACTACTACATACAGACACATGTACCATACACTCAAAGTCAAAGTCACAATGTAATACTTTCTTTGTGCCATTTATGTGTTTCCTCGAACTGGCTTAGTGTTTGGAAAACAAAAAACAAAAAAAAAGCAAACGACATAAAAATTGTTGATTTTTACTTCACAAAGATTTATGCAATATGATTTTTGATTTTTTTATGATGATATATCCGTATCGTTGTTGTTGTTGTTCTATTTTTACATTTCTGCTTTAATTTTTGCTGGTTTCATATTATAAATTAATTAATTTTTTTTTTCATTTAAAAATGTATCTATTCGAAAGTTATTTGCATATCATTCACAGCTATGATTGTGATTTTCTACCTTTTGTTGTTATTGCTTTGCGATTATTTATTTCGCTGGAATTTTTATGTTAATTATCCCTTTTCGAAGCGAATTCCTCTTCGAAAACGATCGATTTCAATTATCCACAGTATGTTAAATTATTAATGTATGCAAAAATATATTGTTTTGTCGTAATGTTAATGTTTAAATCCGTTCTGGGCTACAACGCACAACTTTTCACTAGGCCGCACACAACACGACTGATAATGAAGAAACTTTTCTCTAGCGGTTTTTAGTGTTAAGTAGACCGCCACACAATGTTTATTTTTACTGGATTTCTTATGCTGTTGCTGTTGTTGTTTTTTTTTTTTGGCACAGAGAGTGGTAACAGCGGCGTCGTCGCCGTTGCCTTCCAGCCCAAAACCAAACACTGCAGCAAATCGTTGACGCGCAAGCGCAGCCATTAACTGCCGGTTTTATGGCCTTTACAGCGTTCCACTATCACACACTCTTTCTTTCATTTCATGGTCTTTTCTCTTGAGCTTTCTTTACCTTTTCTTTGTTGGTGGTGCTGCTGTTGTTATTTTATTTGTAGCTATCGGCAGTGCCTGTATTTATTTATTTTCTTTTTAGACACTCGAGTGCCGTAAAGTATTCCAAGTGTCTTCGAGTGGGACGTAGCGTTTCTTTACTGATCAATTTCACACCGCGACGCGTCTTTACAACACAACTGCTGGGTACGAGCAAATGTCTGCAACTGATCATCGCTTGTAGCTTCAGTTACCATCAGACTTGTTTGGGCCAAAATGGAATTTCTTTTTTCTCCATACCTAAAGCGTTTATTTGGCCAAGAAATAATCCAATTGTTTTTGTTTTTCTTTTGTATTTGCTCTTATATTGTTGCTGTTTTTTCTTTTTTTTTCTATTCGTTATAGGTACATAATTTTGAAATTATTATTCATGTTTTATGCTGATTGCGTTTGCGCGGAACCTACGATGTACTGGTATTTTAACGCCCTGACGTTTCAACAACAATTCTGGCCATTTGCTCTGAGAGAAAAAGCTGAAAACTTATATTCTGTTTCGTGTGTTAATTATTTACAGCTACTTTTATGGGATTTGATCTTCGTTTTAGTTAGTAAGTTATTTAATACATGATATACGCAACCTTTGGGTGCACACTGTATTGCGACATCAAAAATATTGTCTAGGTTATGACATGACAGACAATACAGCATCGTGCGTCACAATTCCTAAGCCATAAAGATGAGGTGTCAATTATTGTTGTCATTCGGTTTACAACACCTCGATCTGTTGAAATCAAGATATGAGTCACAATATTCAAGATAAATTATTGAAATTATAAATTATTGAAAAAAGCATTTGCCAAAGGTTTGTTATTCACCATATTTAGGTATAGGCGCCATATAATGGTACCTTTCTGATTTTTATACCCTCCACCATGCTATGGAGGATATATTAACTTTGTCATTCCGTTTGTAACTCCTCGAAATACTCATGTTAGACCCAACAAAGTATATCTATTCTTGACCAGCGTAAAATTCTAAGTCGATTTAGCGATGTCCGTCTGTCTGTCCGTCTGTCTGTTGTAATCACGCTATCTTTCGAATGAATTGAGATAGATGGCTAAAATTTCGCCATGTAGGTTCACGTTCTCATATAGCCCCCATATAACGGTACCTCCCGATATTCGGTATTTTGATGATTTTAGCGACATTATTCACCGGAATTGTTTCAAATTTGGTATTTGAAGTTCGAAATGGATACTACTCCTAAGACAGAAAATTGTCTGTGCAGGTCCACGTCTTCGTATAGCCCCCATATAACGGTACCTCCCTATATTCGATATTTTGACGATTTTAGGTACAATACCCATCGAAATTGTTTGAGATGTGGTATTTGAAGTTGGTAATGGATGCTACAGCCTGCGACAGATAATTGTCTATGCAGGTGCAGGTCTTCGCACAGCTCCGATATAACGGTACCTGCCTATATGCGATATTTTGACGATTTTAGCTACATTATTCACAGTTTACTTCAAGTTTCGAGTTTGAATGGCTTATGACAAACACTGCCTATGTAAGTCCACGTCGTATAGACCCCAATAGACAGCTACGTTTGGTATTTTAAAAATTTTAACAGAATTTTTTAAGAATTTTATTTTTTGAAAATTCCAAAAGGTGGAGGGTTTTCAAAGTTCGGCCCGGGCGAACTTACTGCTTTTTAACTTGTTAGTATTTAAACAAGTAAAAAACTGTAAGTTCGGTCGGGCCGAACTTTGAATACCTTCCAACGTTTGGTACAAATTTGGCAATTTTCAAAAAAAAAAAAAAAAAAAAATAATAATAATAAATAAAATCCGTTAAAAATTATGTTAAAATCTTAAAAATACCGAATGTCTATACATATACCTTTATATGGGAGCTATATGATATCGTGAACCTATATAAATAATTATCTTTTAAGGGAATAAAGTACTCAGAAGGAACTCCTTGTGTGGATTTTAAGACAATACCATTGGAAATGTGGGTAAAATCATCAAAATCCCGAATATCGGGGGGTACCGTTATATGGGGGGTATACGATATTGTGGACCTATATAGACAATTCCCTTTCAGGGGGGTACCGTTATATGGGGGGTATACGATATTGTGGACCTATATAGACAATTCCCTTTCAGGGGGTAAATTGCTCACAAAGAACACCTTGTGTAGAATTTCAGACAATTCCATTGAAAAATGTGGCAAAAATCATCAAAATACCGAATATCGGGGGGTACCGTTGTATGGGGAATATGCGATATGGACAATTCTCTTTCAAATGATAAAGTACCCACAAAGAACTCATTGTGTGGATTTTTAGACAATTTTATTGAAAAATGTATCTAAAATCATCAAAATACCGAATATCGGGGGTACCATTATATGGGGGATATACGATATCGTGGACCTATATATATAATTGGTATGGATTATGAGCTGGTAAATTATCCATACGCGCACGCGCAAATATCGCTAAAATTAAAAAAAATCCTTGTACCTAACAATCCATATGCTTAAGAAACAAGTAATAAAGGACTATAGTCGTACAGAGCCGACCTTACATCTGTACTCCTAGGCATGAGTCTAAAAACAGAATATTTTTTTAATTAAATATCTGTTAAGAGAGTTCAAAAGTCGGGCAATAACGACTATATGATACTCTACACCAATATGAATATTTAGTAGACTACAAACCTATTTGAATGAACCGTATTTGACTGCGTATCGCGGCTTTCTTTCAGTTTTAATTTGGAAACAGAAGGAACGAATATATGGGACGGATATCAATCTCTGAACAGATTTGCACAAATTTGAGACATTTGTACCTTTAATACCACATAACATTGCTATGAATATATAAGAGCATATCTATCGGAGCCGAGATTCACCAAATGGAAAAATTCGGTGGAATGCGGAGAATCCATTCAATAGCACATCGGGTGAAGATATATATGGGAGCTTCATCCAAATCTGAACCTACTATATACATAGTACTAGTAGTGTAGTAAACCCACAAATGAGTTATGGATTCATAGGCTAAGCGTTGTTTAGACATATAGTTTTGACCATTTGCAAAGGTCCCGTATATATATACATATATGAGATAAAACTAGTAAAAAAACTGGAATTTCGGCCGGTCCGAACTTTGAATACCCAAATTTGGCAATTTTCAAAAAAAAAAAAAAAAAAAAAAAATAAAATATGTTAAAAATTCTGTTAAAATCTTAAAAATACCGAAGCAGCCGCATATTAGGGTCTATACGACGATGTAACCCTGCATAGGCAACTTTTGTAATAAGCTATTACAATATTCAAATGCGAAACTTGAAAAAATCTGTTTATATATATTATACCGAATATAGGGAGGTACCATAGGGGACCTGCACAGACAATCTTCTGCCATAAGCTGTGCTATCCGTTACAAACTTCAAATACAAAATTTGAAATAATTCCGGTAAATAACTTCTCTAAAATCATCAAGATACCTAATATCGGGGGTACCGTTATATGGGGGCTATACGAAGACGTGGACTGCACAGACAATTTTCTGTCATAGGCTGTAGTATCCATTACGAACTTTAAATGCGAAATTTGAAAGCATTCCGGTAAATAATGTCGCTGTGGAAATCACTCTTGCTTCCGAACGAAATGAAGTAAGTTGATAAAAATTTACCCAAATGTGTACTATGTCTGCAGGACTTCTGGTATCGAAAATGGGATATGTCGGGCCACGTCTTCGTATAGCCCCCATATAACGGTACCCCCGATCGATATTCGGTATTTTGATGATTTTAGCGACATTATTAACCGGAATTGTTTCAAAATTGGTATTTGAAGTTCGTAATGGATACTACAGCCTCAGACAGGAAATGGGCCATGTAGATCCACATCTTCGTATAGCCCCCATATAACGGTACCCCCGATATTCGGTACTTTGATGATTTTGCGACATCATTTACCGAAATTGTTTCAAATTTGGTATTTGAAGTTCGTAATGGATACTACAGAATATGAAAGAAAATTGTTTGTGCAGGTCCACGTCTTCATATAGGCCCCATATATCCGTACCTCCCTATATTCGGTATTTTGACGATACCCGCCGATATTGTTTGATATGTCGTATTTAAACTTCCTAATGGATGCTACAGCCTCTGACAGAAAATTGTCTGGCTGGTCCAGGTCTTCACACAGCTCCGATATAACGGTACCTCCCTATATACGATATTTTGATGATTACAGTTGCATTATTCACCGTATATTTCAAGTTATCGAATTTAAATATGGTAATGGCTTATGACAAACAATGCCTTTTTTAGGTCCACGTCGTATAGACCCCGGTATTTTTAAAATTTAAACAGAATTTTTTAAGGATTTAAATTTTTGAAAATTTCCAAATACATTCCAAATGATGGAGGGTATTCAAAGTTCGGCCCGGCCTGGTTTTAAACTTGTTCGAATTTCATTGGTTTTACCTCGAGCTCATTCTTCAATATTTGCCGAATGAAATATAGCGATATGTTCAGCTCACGAGCCATTTTTCGGCCTTTGCCACGCGGGTTTCGATGAAGTCGCTTCTATACTTTTCGGAACAGTTGCTGTTTTCTTCTGTCCACTTCGTTGACGTCGGGCTATGCTACCAGTATCACGGCAACGAGCGATAGTACGAGACAAAAAAGATTTATTCAAATTCAGCCAAGTATATATCACGCTTGAATTCCATCACGAATAATTTTTTTTTTCTTGT